GACTACGTTGGTGAAAGTTTTCAAGTGCCTTGAGGTGCCTCCTGTATGTGGCCCATGTCTCACTGCCATATAGTAGGGTGGGCAGGGCCACTGCTCGATATACGTGCAGCTTTATGGATAATTTCAGCTCCCTACAGCTGAAGACACGATTTCGGAGTCCGCCCAAGGCTTGAGATGCACATCTGATCCGATGTTGAATCTCTTCATCGATGTTTGCGGTGGTGGACAGGTGGGAGTCGAGATACCAAAAGTGGGCAACATTAGAGAGGGTAGTACCGTTAAGCTGGATGGATGGTGGAGGTGTGTCTGAACCAGGGGCAGGTTGAAAGAGAATCTGAATCATACGTTTATTCACGCATACGCGTCTGTAGGTGTTCAGGATCTCCTGTAGGTCGTGTTCGGTGTGATCAACAAGGGTGAGGTTGTCTGCATACTGAAGTTCAGTAATGGAAACTGCCGACACCTTTGTTCTTGCCTGGAGTCGTCTTATGTTGAAAAAAACCTCCCTTCACCAGGTACTCGATGTTCACCCCACTGGCTAAATTGGCACTGGCACGAGTAAGAAAGGCAGCCAAGAAGATGGAAAAGGGAGTTGGTGCCAGTACCCACCCTTGTTTAACCCCCATTTGGATGGGGAAGAACTCTAACTGGGTGCCATTGTGCAGGACACTGCCATTCATGCCATCGTGGAGTTGCCTCACAATGGCGATGAATTTTGGTGGGCAGCCAAAATGGCTGAGGTTCCACCAGAGGGCTTCCCTGTTGACCGAGTCGAAGGCCTTGGTTAGGTCGATGAAAGCCATGTACAGGTCACGACGCTGTTCTCTGCACTTTTCCTGTATCTGGCGGGCAGCAAAGATCATATCAGTGGTGCCATGTGATGGTCTAAAGCCACATTGAGATTTGGAGAGGAAGTTTTCCACTTCAGGAAGAAGTCTGTTTAGGAGGACTCGGGAGATAATGTTGCCAGCTACGGACAGTAGCGAGATCCCACTGTAGTTGCCACAGTTGACCGGTCTCCCTTGTTCTTATAAATATTGACGATGGAGACGTCTTTAAAAGCTTGGGGGTTTTCCTCCTTTTCCCATATAATCTCCAGGAGAGAGTGGAGACGGCTGGTAAGCAGAGGCCCTCCTGCTTTATATACCTCGCCTGGGATTCCATCATCTGTTTGGTGGCAGTAGCTACCTCATCTAGGGATGGAGGATAGCTGAGGTCGGTCAGCTTTGGATGCTGAGGGACCTTGCTGGGTTGTCAGGCCATCCAGATCGGTGTTTTGATTGAACAGCGAATGGTTAGGGAGTTACCGTCTGATGAGTGGGGGGGGCGGGGGGGCTGCGCCATGAGTGATTGGCCCATAAAATATTTTATTGGAATTGAAAAATTTGCATAATCTTGTGTTGATCTGCAAGTTTTTGCATTTCACATGCTTTATTTTTAAAACATTCGTTCATTAGATTGCAAAGTTTGCGCTGGGCCTCCGCTTTCTTCTTGTGGAAGGTATCTGCTTTGGTCCAAGTCTGAGGGCTGTTCTGCCAGATCAGTTAAAGCCGCACAAATATCATTGGCGAGCACATGGATATCCGGGTCATTTTCATCAAACCAGTCCTGGTTTATTCTTTGATCTGGCCGAGGGTCTCTCTGCAGGTTTTTATCATGACAAGTGTCGAGATTACCCCATTCGGCACTGGGATTTGGGTTGTATGTTGTCAGGTTGGTAATCAGCCCATGTTCGAGCTGCTCTCTGAATGCACGTGCTTCTGCTGGATCCTCCAGACGCTTAGTGTTAAAATCTCTTCTGGAGGCTTGTTGCCTTTACCGTTTTGGGGCGACGTGAAGTGAGAGCTTAGCTCTGAGGAGCCAATGATCAGTGTCGTAGTGGTCTGAGCCACGCATGGCTCGAGTGATGAGGACATCTTTGCGATCTCTTTCACTGACAATGATGTAGTTAATGAGATGCCAGTGTTTGGATCGTGGGTGTTGCCATGAACCCTTGAACTTGTTGGCCTGCCTAAACAAGGTATTGGTGATAGTGAGGTGTGCAGCACACTTGTTGAGGAGGAGTAGGCTGTTGGGATTACACTTGGCCTAGTTCATTTCTCCCTATGATTCCTTGCCAAATGTCAGCATCTCTGCCAACTCAGTCATTGAAGTCACCTGGAAGCACAACCTTATCTTCTCTGGGGATAGAGGTTAGCAATCTGTCAAGGTTGGCATAAAAGGCCTCCTTGATGCTATCCTCTGCATCCATTGTTGGGGAGTATACACTGATGAAGAAGGCATGACACGAGTGGTTTAGTGGGACTGAGCGTCATGAGGCACTCGTTGGTCCCAACAGGCATTTCAGTTAGCCTGTGTAGGATGCATTGGTGGATAGCAAAGCCAAATCCATAAATGCGGTTTCTCTCCGCAGCATGTTTTCCCTTCCTGAAGAAGGTATAGCCAGACCCCCGTTCTATGAGTCGACCCTCGTCTGGCAGCCGGGACTTGCTAATGGCTGCTATGTCGATGTCTTATCTAGCCAAGGGCGGTTCTTCTTTCAGGATGCTCATTTGTATCAGGACCCAGAAGGGTCCTTACCTTTCATGCTGCAACCATAAGAGGTTATATAGTTGGTTTTTGTTTTGATCTGTGATTATGATTGTGTTTTCAACCACACAAGGATGACCTTACTGGGTGTGGTTGCCCAGTCAGGTTGGTTCTTTAGGCAGGCTATGTTTAGGGCACCTTTTCTAGCTCCCTCCCCATGTGGGGTGAGTAGAGTGGCTCCTTGAAAGAGCTGCTCATTCGCACATACAGGACAGGATTGCACTGCTGTCTAGATCCCAGTGCATGAACGACTATCTTATATAGTTGTGACTAGAGACTCCCAACAATCATCTCTGCTTGTCCCTGTTGCCACAGGACTTTTGGGGGTATAGGTATTTTGATAATGATGAGAAGTATGATGAGCTGGATGATGACTGCGCATGAGTTGATTTATGTTGGTGAGGCAGAAGCGCAGGCTGCAACCACACATCTTGGCTCTCCCTTTTCCTGATCCAGTGGTGCAAGTGTTGCAATGACTGGGGAGAGGGAGAGTTGCAATGGACTGCTGATAGCCCATATTGTTGGGTTTCGCCTTAGTAGCCTTTCCATCATGCATTGCCTTCATCCACCGTTGTAGTTGTTGGGTTCCCATGCTGGTTACCTCTTCCGCCTATACTGCCGTTTGGGTCTTGTTGGAGCTCTGTAAGCACATCTGCCAGATGCGGGGCTCCACCGCAGATTTTTCGTTCGGGGTTTACTCCCATAGCCTTCCAGGGTTAATCCACAGGGCAGTGGTTGGTAAGCGCCAAGACGTGTCCACATGCCAGTGGGCCTATGCGCCATCCTTCTGGAGCCCACTTCTGCTTTGAGATCCTCTGCTGGTCTAGCCTTGGCCCACGAGGCACCCAGTTACCATTTGTTGCCACGAGGAGGCACAGCAGAAGTCTTGATGGTGAAGAGGCTGTGTACTGGCAGGGGGCAGGGGAACACACACACACACACACACACACACAGTGCTTTTCCTGCATTGTCATTATGAAAAAGGGATGTACAATAACCCTGGCGATCCCAACTTGCTGCTGTACATGTACTGTACAGTATCATGTAAGGTAAATGAAAATAAATATTTTGTATACATTTTTTGTTTTTGTCTTTATTTTGTAAAAAAAAAAATGTTTTCATGTCTACTGAATTTATGAAGAACTTGAGTTATTTAGACATTATTTAGTCATTATAGCAGCAGGATATAAAACTTATTTAGGCCCTTCAGGGTTTTAGGAATGGAACCCATTTTTCCCCTTGTTATTAATATTGATATATAATCAATCGCTTAATGATCGCTTTTTGAGGTCCCGAACCCCATCAATTAAGTCAGCACCTGTACTGTGAATGGAATATAAAGTGTTCTGTATCTGTATTAAATGATAATTCTACCATAACAGTACTGGGGGGTTAATGAATTTCTGAATGAACACTATGACTTGTTGTTTTGGTAGGATTGTCAAAATCCTTATTCCGTTTTGTCATTGTCAAACACAATTTTGTAAGGGTAGCTATTTGATCAATTGTATTGTAATTAAAATTCACTGATGGCTTAATGGGTATCATTAGATAGTGACTTTGACAAGAGATGCTGATAAGAAGCTGACAAACATAGAAGTACTGTAACTCTACAGTACACCCAGCTCTGGCTATCAATATATTTTTCTTAGAGTGGGGGTGTGTCATAGTTGTGATTAGATGTAGCAGCCTGGACACACATGAGGCCAATTTACTTTTGGTCATACAGTAGTAGGCATACTGTGTGCAATGATCTACAGATTGTGATGCGGATTTTAAACCAAACTAAAATCTAAGATCATTAAATTTTTTGAATTTGATTGACTATATGTGTCAAAAATTACTGTACATCACCTTACACGCTCTTTCCCTGATTAGAAGTTTGACCAAATTGTGTGTTCAAGGTTAGCTTTGCTAAAACAGGTGGTCCAGGTATCTCTTTGGTAAGTCAGTGACAGACAAGGTTTTTATACGGATGAACTGGCTGCTATCAAAACTGACTGGTTTTTCTGAAATCTAAATTTGATCAAATTGTTCTTGGGTCAAAATTTTGACATGTGATCATAGCAAAATTCTCTGGATCACTTTTAATTCATGATTAAAAATCTCTACAGCTGTATTAATTTCTTTTTTCAGAGTAGCTGTAGTTCATCTTTTGTGTTTCATGATTTACAGTATGAATTTCAATGGTACCTGAAATATGCAAGTGAAGGGATAATTTGCTTGTATTACAGTATATTTTGATTAATTAAAAATACACTATCTTTACTTTCATTATGGCTCTGGTCCCAAAGAGCTGCTGAGCCAGTGACAACTTTTTTTATATTGTACTACAAGTAATTTTGTTTTTTATAATTGACAATTGATTCTGTAAAATGAGTTTTTATTAATTTATTATTTTTAATTTTCAGCACCAACATGGTGATGAACTACACGGAGGTGGAGGCCAAAGTTCGAGAAGCCACTAATGATGAAGCTTGGGGGCCCACAGGTATGACTCACCCTCAGAATAAATTGAATTAGTATCATCATCACTCCCAAAGTGTTATACTGTACAATATTGTACTGTACTACAAAAAATAAAGTGTCTTTGCATAGTACTGTATAGTACAGTATGGTCTGATGTGGAGAAATCTTTTGAAAACTATATCAGGGTGTTAGCATGCAACTGAAGTACTGTACATGTTCTGGCTTGTCCCTGTAATATAACTTTAATTTTAGATACAGTACAGTATCTATAATTTCAATAATTCATCATACTGTACTTAGCATGCTCCTCTAGCTAATTTAGTCCAACTGGACAACTTTTAACTAATGGTAATCTAACTTGTGTTTCATTCTTCCAAATTGTTTCCTACATACAGTACAGTATATGAATGCTGCAAATTTTGTTACTGGTATATAAACATCACTTTGTTGTGGTTTATATGTACTTTTAAATTGTTTATACTATATTGTGATATTGTAGCCTATACTGCTACTGATTATTGTTTTACAAGTTTTCTTAGGTGTGTTTTAACACCTCAAAAATTGCCTTTCCTGAGTGTATGATTTACTGAGCGACTTACTGCATCTCTCTGTTCATTTAACTACTTATATCACAAGCAGAATTTATTGAGTGACTCAATGTATCTCTGTATATGGTATTAGTCTGTGTCTGTATCTTTCTGTCTTGTTTTAATGAATGACTCACTTAGTCTCCATACATTAATGTACTTTATCTAACTTTCTATCTATCAAGAGTTACTGGAGTACACATAAACGTTAAGCAACGCAGGGTTCAGTTTAATGAAAACCCCACGAAGATGTTCACCTCCGGGAAGACAAAATTGCCAAAAATGAAGTCAACTCCCACTCTATAACACATTTACTTCCCACATATGCTCTTTAATTTTTTTATTTTATAATTTTATATTATATTTTCCATGTTTCTAAGCCACATTAGAGTACAGTATTGTAATGATTTTTTCACAACTTTTATAGTTTCATTACAAGTAACAATATACAAAGCAGCTAGGCTGGCGATACTGCCACATAAATATAGCCAAGGTCTTAGCTAGAACCGTCTCCTTGCTCATTCACTTCTCACACATACACTCCCATGCTCTTCATTTTCTTGTTTTATATGATATTTTCTTTATTTATAAAGCACATTAGAGTACCCGGTATTGTAATGATTTTTTGACAACTTTTATAGTTTTATTACAAGTAACAACAAATGTGGCACCTGGGGTGGCAAGTCAGCAACATGGTTATATCCCACCACCTACACACACGGTAACTTCTTACCCATACACACCCACGCACTTCAGTTTTCTTATTTTATAGTTTTCTGAGACACATGCTGGGAGTCAGCTGGCTGACATGCCAGTCAACTGTGGTCTTTGAGAGATGTTAATGTAGGATGCCATTGTTACATATAATGAAACTCTTAAATTCAATACTGTACCTGTACTCTAATGTGACTTAGAAGTAAAGAAAATATAAAACTATAAAATAAGAAATATGAAGAGCAAGAGTGAGTATTCTGCATCTCTAAGATGCAGTGTCTTGCTGGCAGCACTTGTAGCACTCAGGGCAATGCACTCGTTGCCAATAGTGGAAGTTGTCAGACACATAAACAACCCTCCTTGCAACCTATAGTGCAATCCGCGAAGGGGCGAGGGCTGTGATGTTTAAACCCGCGAAGTTTGAGATATAATTATAGTACACACACACGGATTATGTGTGAAACAATATGACACCTTGGATGAGGGATAGTGGAATATGCGTTATGGTCCTGTTGCTAACGACATATCCTGCCTTATCACTTATGTTAATTTTATATTATTTGTAAATCAAGAGACCCCATTCCCAAGTTATGTAATTGTTTATTTTCAGCCTTCTGGCTGCCATGCTCTTTGTATAAACCGTTAATTATAATTATTTTATTATATACAGGTTATAGTATAACTGAATATGAACACATAGGGTGATGTATGGATCAAAATGGAATTCAGCAGACCCACCTTCGTGATAAAGTACTTTTTTTACTGTGTGTACTATAATTATAGCTTAATATTGTACTGTAGTGTATATACTGTATACCAATAATAGTAAGAGCAGTCCCTCCATAGGTGTAGATATATATTTGTGTTTGCAAAGTCAAATTTCTGCTGGGGCTTAGCCCTTTCTTTTTGGGGGGAGGGGGGTAATGATTGAAAAATAGTTTACAGTCTTGAAGTGTTAGGGAATCCAGTACAGGTGTAGGGGTACCATATTCCTCTCCCCCTCCCGGTGCCTCCTTCGTTCTTTGGGCTGTGTTCTCAGCAGTTGGTGGAGTGTTTGTTTTCTCTGGATCATGCTTGAGTGTAAGAGGCTTGGGTAATATCCTTCAGTTTTATCAATGTTGCCACCACTATATCTCTTTCCATAATTTTTCATTTGTTTCTAATTACAGTATGGATCTTTATCTGGTCTATGGTTAATGTAAATTATTTGTATTTTATTAAGGAAACAGTTGGGGTACCAAAGAGGGAGTGTCTTATCTTATCAATACTGTAGTGAGAAAATGTACATATGTTTTGTTATCAGTGAGAACTTATCCAGTTGTCAAGTAGGAGATACGTGTGCCGGTATACAGTACAGTACTTACTTTCTAATCATGGCCTTTATGATAATTATTTTTATTCAAGAAAAGTGATGTAGAAAATTAATGTAATGAGGAAGAAATCTGAGTAAACACTAGAGAAAGAAAAGATACTACTTCTAGCACAGGAAATGCTTAGGTATTGCATTATTGTTGATGTCATTATGTTTTACAAGGCTCAAGATAAGTGTACTGATTAAGGCAAATTTACCTCAATGAATCCCTGATATCAGAGGTTAGATAAATTTTATATTTTGCAACCAGGAATAATTGTTTTTACTTTTGGGTGTGTGTATTTGTTGATATTTTGATATTTTTAAAACAAATTATGAAGTATCGGTTAGGGATGAGTGTAGAGTTTCCTGTACTTTTTGTGTATACTGTACAGGTAAATATAACAGACATTGTGTGTGCTGCCAGGCACAAAATAACAGATCATTTAAGATTAGGTACTCCTGCTTATTCCACTTGAAGATTAAACACTCTAATGCAACCTAGGGAGAGTTAGGGTAGGTTAGGTTAGCTGTAATCTTCAGGTGAAATGAGCTGGGGTGTTTAATCTTATGAATGTGGATCATGTATGGTAGTCCAGGATAGTGGTACTATAAATGAAACAGATGATTTAAATTGATGTGATATGAAGTGTGTGTCATAATGATAAGGATATGAGGAAATTCAGATACAGTAGTGTTTCTGTTAATTGTCTGTAAACTTTACTGTCACTTTTTACATTCATCTCATACCTCTTATTACAGTATACAGTATTTCACTCTCTTAAATTTCCCAACCCCTTGGTCCATCTTACAACAAAAGTGACAGAGGGGTAAAGGTAGTGGGTAAATACTGTAGCTGATTTTAAATTTATGAGGTATTTATACTATTACGGTAAGTTTTTATAATATACAATATATATATTCTCAGGCCCCCAGATGCAAGAGCTAGCACAGTCAACATTTTACTATGAACAGTTTCCTGAAGTTATGGGTATGCTGTGGAAGCGCATGTTGCAAGACAACCGAACTGCCTGGCGACGAACATACAAATCTCTCTTGCTGCTCAATTACTTAGTTCGTAATGGCTCTGAAAGGGTGGTCACATCTGCCCGGGAACACATATATGATCTAAGGACATTAGAAAACTTCAAGTATATAGATGAGCAAGGCAAGGACCAAGGACTTAACATTAGGTGAGTCACATTATGTTGTTTTGTGTACTACTTCACTGTGTAGTAAGTTTGTATAGTTCCCCCTTATAATTATCCCATGACAGAAAGATGAGGAATTTTAGAAGTACGGTATTCTGGTCCATTCTTCCCTCTGTGAAATTTAGTACAGCCCCCCCCCCCCTCCAAGTTCACAGATTTTTTACTTAGCGGTTCTCGGTTATTCGCGGATGACACCCTGCAGGTATCCAAGAATGTCTGAGTAGTTTTAAAGTTTCTGGCATTTTCATGGATGGGACAGGGAGCCATTCGTTCTAGAGACAGTAATTTCCTTTACCTGTATTGTAAATATGTGTGTGTGTGTGAAGAGACACACACAAAACACAAACAAATAAATAATAATTGGAAAACCCTCTCACAAACAATCAGAAACAAATTTATTAAAAATGTGAGTCTACCCTCAAGTCAGTGCTCTATTATTAAAGTACTGTAATCCTAGAGCACTGACTTGAAGGTAGACTGTCACATTTTTTATAAATTTGTTTCTGATTATTTATGAGAGGGTTTTCTATTATTTATTTGTGTTTTGTGTGTGTGTGTGTCTTCACACACACACACAATACTACAGGTAAAAGAAATAATTGTCATAAGGGCAAATACATACGGGAATATACATTTCTTTGTACACAAGTAAAAATGTAACACCCCTCCACCCCCCACCCTCAATGTTATTCCCGGATTTTGCAATTCGTGGCCATTTTGAGAACCTAACCCCCACGAATTTGGGGGGCCGCCTGAATCCACTGATAAATTTTTTAAACTTCAGTATGAGTGTTATAATAGCAGATTATTGTTGTAGATTATTCAGGTTTTAAATTACACTGCACTGTTTACAGTATTTATTTTTGTAAGTCACAAGCTGTGTCATATTGATCTACATGTGGTAATTTTTTAAATTTTTGAAGGTCTGAATGTGCCTTAGTCATTCTGGAAGCATAATCTGATTTATGTATCACTTTCTGTAAATGTTATGCACCACATAAATTATTGTTTTTCCCTTTGAGTTTCCTGTACCCTTGATCCAACTCACACAAACATGGGTTAGGAATAAAGATACTGTAATGGCTATACAAAGATAATTTTACAAAATATTTTTTTTTACAATTTTATCTTGTGAATTTCCAGAGTAAAGGCAAAAGACTTAATAGACTTTATACAAGATGACAACAGGCTGCGAGAGGAGCGTAAGAAGGCAAAGAAGAATAAGGATAAATATGTTGGTGTGTCCTCAGACTCCATGGGATTCCGTGGCTCTAGTCAAAGTATGTGGAAGTTTGTTAGGGTATTATGGGCCCTTATGTATATATAATGAATGGTAACTGTATAAAAGGAAAGGTGTTAAGAATTTAAAATTTTTAGATGAATAAGTCTGTTGAGTGTACCAGGGAGAGTACCAGTATATGGTGCAGTACAGTTAGAGAGCATTGTGGTTGATAAGGCTGTTACTGCTGCTGGAAGTGTCGATAGAGCTTTGATGTCCATTCCTGTTAATAGTTGCAGGGAGACAAAAACTGGCTCCCTTGTTATTAGACTTACCACTGCAAAGGCAAAGGAGGAGACTAGTGAGGCAATGAGTTCCTGCCTTAGTACACAGTTGGATTTCATGATGTCCAAACCTAGAAAAATCATGTCAAAAATGACAATTGTAGGTATTCCCACTACACTTCCTAATGACAAAATAGTCTTGGACATTGCTGAGAAGAATAATGAAATTCAAGAACTGTTAAATATAGACTGCAAGTTATCCTTTATTTTCACAAAGATAAAAGGAGAAAGTTAACTTGCAGTCATGAAGATATCACCTGAAGTATGAAAGTCCATAGAGAAGTTTTAAGGATAGGTTTATGTTGGGCTGAACAGATGCAAAGCTTATGACAAGTTTTGGGTCACTCAGTGCTACCACTGCCATAAATTTGGACACTGCTTCAAGCTGTCCCGGGAAGCCTGGTTTTCCAGTTTGTGTCCTCTGTGCAGGCAGTCATGAGTCTAGAACATACTCAAATAAGACCTTACCCTGCTGTGTAAATTGTTCCACTCTTCCAGTACCACCCGAGCTAGTCGGTCATTTTGTGTCAAGTAAAGATTGCACTATTATGACTTCCCAACGTAAAAAAGTAATTGAGAACACCAGCTCTACTTGTTCAAAAACTGCATAGTGCCCTCCTTGAGCCTATTAAAAGTGGAGGCATTAATAAATCCTTATTGTCAACTTATTAGAATTGCTGCTGTTTTTCGTCCTGGTCACCCAGGTACTGATAGGGAGTTCATAGATGGATTTAGCTTGTTTCTTGACTTTCTCAGGAAAGAATGGCTGATAGTTGATCTGTGGTGACTTTAATTATTGGGTTGACAACTCCTCTCTGAAACCCTTTTTTCTGAGTTATTGGAAATTCTCGATCTAAACAATTTAGGCAATCATGTGTCAAGTCCAACACATGGTTGTGGACACACTCTAGACCTAGTTTTGTCTCCTGCTGACTGTGATCGTGTATTAGATGTTGAAGTTGACCTGATCGATCCAGCAGTCTTTGACCATGTTTTGGTTACTTTTGGCTTTAATATCCCAAGAGCGATAGAAACATTGACCAAACCCTGATTGATCAGGAAGTCGATCATTCTTTGAACTGGGTCGACTCCTCTGATTTGTCTACTGAGAAGATGGTTAAATTATATAACGATGTCTTCCGGTCCATTTCAGACCATTATTGTTCAGAGGCCACGAAGAGAATTACAGTACGAGATAACTCTTGGTATGATTCATCAATAAGTTCTCTTCTTAAGGATCTTAGAAGTTCTGAACGAGAGTGGCGCAGGTGATGAACAGACCACACTAGATCAGAGTGTATGACTGCACGAAGGGCTGTTGTTTGTTCAGTGAGGGAACGCAAGTTGAATACCTGTATGACAGAAGTCAAGTTGCTGCTTGCGGCAGGGATAAAAAAAAATGTATGTAGTCATGAATGGGCTGATGGGTGGAGGTTTGGAACTACTATACCTTCTTCCATTTCAGATGCTCAGCTTGCCTCATATATTTCCTTGTTTTTTATGACAAAGATATCACGTACAAGAAATGACCTTGATGGTGTTTCTTTAAATGAGGAATTTTCAATTGAATTTAAACCAAGTTGCACCATAGACCCCACTCTTTCATTGTTTTCTCTTGTAGGGACGAACAACATTCTGCACTACAGAGTACAGTGAGTTCTGCTATAACGCGTGTTTTGACGCGAATTGGCTCTAATGCGATTTATGAATAGAGGAACGATATTTGTATAACGCGAACGCTTGTTTGCTGTAACTCGATTTTTGCTTACTATTTCTCCAATTTTGTGGTATTAACTGTGAATATGGTAAAGAAGAATATCTCCAAGAAGCGTTCTGGTGATCGCATTCCCGGTGATGATCGTAAAAGAAAGGCTATAACCCTTGAAGAGAAGCTCGATGTTATCAACCTCAAAGTCACCCTTCTCCCCCATCAAGTTATATTCAGATTTTTTCAAGGTAAAGTGTTACATTTACTGTATGATTTCATTATTAGATATGAATGCAACATTTATTTAGACTGTGCTAACCTTTGTGTTAGGCTAACTACTAAATTTTCTTCGATTTCGAGTAGTAATCTGCACCTAACCCTATTTTTTCCATAAGCCCTGTTATTTCTATTACTCGAATTTCTATAACACGATGTTTTAAAAGAACACAACTATCGCGTTATAGCAGAACTGACTGTATATCAAGGATTTGAAGAAAACTTTTTGTCGTCTTGATTCTATATAATGTATCTAAGATACCACTCGCTTATGAACATGCTGCAGACTTTATTTGTAGAATAATAAATAAATGATTTGTAAGGGGCAATTTTGTGCACCTACTAGATCCTTTGACTACACGTTCTGAAAAGATTTTGTATAGTACAGTTGTGATGATTCCTCATGACTTGGAGCCTAGAGCAATACAGGAATGTTCTTATGCTGGCTGATCCTTTTCCTATACAGCTCCCAGATTGTACAATCAGTTGTCTGCATCCACGAAGCAGCTGACTTCTGTGGAGGCCTTTAAGAAACAACTTAAGACTTATTATTTAGTCTTGTTATTTTGAAAGCCTATAATCCTAAAGAGGGTACGGTGATGGAGAATTACAAGGTTTAGGAAGTGTTACAACTGAAGGATATATGTATACTGTAATAGAATTTGAACTGTCAGTTTGTCCTTAACTTTGTTGTGTTTAAAAGAACTGGCACTTTTGGGAAACAAAAGACCAGCCACAGTATTATTATTAAGGTATTACTGTATTATTATTGTTATTATTGTTGTTGATATTATTATTAGGGAGGAGCAGTGTGGGATCTAAAAAGAAGGGAAAAGGCTTGAAAGGGTTACGAAAATATTCATGGATGGATCTTTTCTTGTCATGTGAGTGATGCCATGTACTAGCACCTGGTACAGTTAAAAAATAAAAAAATTGAAAATCCATATGTTTGCATCAATCGATTGGATGTTTACAAAAGATTAATACAGTTGTAAAAATAATTATATAAACAAGTTCAAGAGTGAAATTGTTAAAAAATAAAATAAAAAATTACCGAAACTGCTGTGCAGTGATTGACTTTTTTTTTTTAATTCCAGTGGAGATGAGGTAGAAGATGCTGTAGATCCTGTAAATGAATACCGTGATGAAGAGACGAGCCCCAAACCCACCAGAACATCAATCACCACCACTTCCAGCAAACCCACAAATGTGACTCCTGCCAAAAAATCTTCCAAACCCTCAAAGATGGTGGACTTAGGAGCAGCTGCAACTTTTGGGAAGGACACCTCTCAGTCTCAGGTAATGCAGTACACTGGTAGGAATATACAGTACAAGAATTCCTTTGGTTTTCTTGATTCTCTCTACCTCAATATTATAATATCCTCATTTGGTATGCACTGTGGTGTATTGACTTACATCTGTTTGTCTGTGCTGCATGAATTTATTTGTAGGATTACTCTAAGCATATCCAGAGTCGAGTATTATTGGGGAACAGCAACAAATTTAGGCCTGTGGGAGCCCTGTGCAGTTCCAATATGTTGGGACCCTGAGTCCCCACACTACAGTACTTAATTTTAGTAACACACCCACACGCTGTTGTGTTATAAAAGTAAAACCCCCTAAATAATGTTGATTAACCTAGACCTAAAATATGGAAAATTTGTTATTACCTTAAAGCTCTGAGTAAGCAATGGTGTATCCTAGCTTATATAACCCCCCCTCCCCAAGGCTGCCAACTACATACATGTACAACAAGTGACATGATTATAATAAACCTAAAGATGCTAGCTTTTTATATTTTCTTTTCTTCATATAAAGTTGGGGCCCTGTTTGGCCACATACTCTGAACACCCCCAAATCCGGTACTGTTGGGACAAACGACTCACTGATATAATATAATTGAAAATAAACTAATATCTCTGCTTTTGGTCAACATACTTGCTAATGGCTTATGAAACATTGCTGGAAGGAATGACTTACCATGTTCTTCGACAAATTCATGTCATGGTGCATTTGTAATCCATCATGGCAGCCATCCTAAAATCCTCTAAATCACTGTTTCTAAAACACTATGTGATTTCAAGGAAATTTTATGAGAATGAACTCCTGATTGTCCTCTACATATTCACTTGTTCTTGTGCTGTTCCATTGTCTTGTATGGCTACCGAGACATCATTTTTAGTAGAACATTAGTCATCACTTTTTCCTCATAGGAGTTGGTAACTGATGAGAATTCAGTTTCAGAGTTGGTAACATTGTTCATATGGCCAGCTGTTGTGGTGGTGATCATGGCCAAGACACATTGGTATGAATCTGGGGCGTTGCTTCACACTATGTCTAAGATTTTACCTAAATATAGACCTCTGATGGTACAGAAAAACCTCTGATCCCAAGGGTACTGGAAATGCCTTAGTTAACCTGTTCTGATAATAACCAGGCATCTTGAGATATTGTTCTTTCTACTCTACAGACTGGAGATATTTTCACCACAGAAAACAGATTTTTGCATTCATGTCGAGGTCGTCATTTATATTCGCAAGGCTTCCTGTAATCTGTGTAGTACCTGCATATTAATAAATTCTTTCATCTTTGCTTGACTTCCTGTTTGATTTACAGTCTTCAGCGCCTACAACACAAACGCAGAAAAGTGACCTACTGGAAGACCTGTTTGGAAATGTTACCAGTAATGGTACATCTAGTCCTTCAAAAACATCTCCAAGTCGTGCTGAGGATGACTTTGATCCTAGAGCAGGAGAAGTGGATACTGAAAGCAATAAGGCTGAGTTTGGTGATTTTGATTCTGCTTTTGGACATGATGCATCCAAATCATCAGAGTGAGTACACCATTTCAGGGATTTCTTTTTGATTCACCTGATGTCTTGGGTGGTGGTGCAAATTGTTCTTGAAACAAAATCTTAATTTATCTGAAAATGGAAAAAAGAAGGACTTAACCTTCATTTAATGTTAAAATCTCTTAATATTACTCAAATGTCCTGTAGTTTGCCATGCCTGATTAATTATTTACACTGTATAAGCCATGACCCCCTTGATCTCCATCATCTTTTGAGTACAGGAATACTTTTTTGTCATTGTACCCAAACATTTGTTGAACAGCTTGATACAGTATTTGTACTAGTAGACATTACTTTGTGTTTGGTGCCCATTTCTTCTCAGGTGGAGATTGATGTGTGAGAGTTTGTCCAGAATTAAAAGTTTGTTGTGTCATCTACTTTACCAATTTTCTGTGGGTTTTTACACAACTTGGTACAAATGCTGTATATGGACTGGTGAGATGTGCAGTATGAGTCGAGTGTTATTATATTTGTCACAACCTTAAGAATGGATGATATACAGTAAATGAAGTTGTATGTTTGTTGTTGGTTGTGGCCATCATGTGATATATCAGGAGAGAAAAATATGGATACGCTTGTGATGATACGTTTTAAGAAATTTACCCGGAGTTATTTTGTATTTTATAAATTTCTTATTCTCCAGGAAAGATGACTTTGCAGATTTTTCTTCATTTTCCCAAGAACCATCTGGCACAACTGGTAAGGTTATGATCAAGTTCTTACTGGTTAGGTTAGGTTATAATAAGGTTCTTACTGTTAATAAATTAATATATAAAGTATAGCAAAGTGAATTAAAACCTGTTATCTGAGGTTCACACTAGACCAAAATATACCAGTATCCCATTGCAGTTCACAACAGAATGTTGAGTCCATTTTGTTCATTATCACAGTTTGCTGTTTATTTATTTATTTTTTTATTTTTTAACTTTTATCCCCTCGGCCCAGTGCTGTGCTGATAAAAAGAAACACTGTATACAGTATACAGTAAAGCCTCGAATAATGATGGTAATGTGTCCTCCAATATTGCAGTGTAAAGTGAACCATCGTATCGCGAATCATTAATTACCATTGAAATAAAGCAATAATAATGAGATGTGTTCCCAATTGTAACCTTTTAACATCTGTTGTGTGGCCTTTTACCCTCTTTTCCCCTAAAACTAATTAATGAAAATTACAAACTATATTTCAATAATGTTTCTGAATGCACCTTACACAATATAAATGAATAATAATATGGTCACACAAGAGGAGATGGGACGCCATTGTTTACGTTTGTGTTAACAGCCGGGACGATAGTTCTACACGAGAAAATGAAGAAAATAAGACCCTGGTTGTAGCTGTAGTAAAATTAATAAAAAAAAATTAATATCTTGTACAGCTGCTCCTCGACTTACGACGGGGTTAGGGACCCAAATCCAGGTCGTAAGTTGAAAATGCTTAAATAATATATAGAAAATCTAAAATGGGTGTCTCTTTTTCTTCTCAGCACCATAAAACTCTCACTTTTAAGCTTGCCAGCCATTTTAAAGTGAATTACAAACGAAAATTTTGTCAGTAAACAGCGCAATCACTTACGTTGGGACTCGAAAATACGTAATTTGACAAAATTTTGATACGACTGAGGCTGTCGGGTATGTCCGGGTGGTCGTAGGTCAAGTATGTCGTAAGTCGAGAGTAGCTGTATATGTTTTAAGTAATGTTATTTAATGTTAATAAATGGAACAATAGAAGTAGCTAACCACTAATGGTAAAGAAAAAAGAAGTGAGATGGATTGGGAACGCCAACATATACGTGTGCATTTAAGGATACCGCGCCATTTATCTTTTTAAGAATATGTACAAAAGATTCATTATTGTTTATTACTGAATATGTATTTGATTGAATTAATGTTTATATATGTGAAATGAACAATGAAATTCATTAATAATACGTAGAATATTAAAACATGCACGAGGAGACAAGACGGCATTGTTTTTGTGAGTGACTATGATTCTACATAAGAAACTGAAGAAAATAAGACCCTGGTTGTAGTTGTAGTGAACTTAATTTAAAAAATTGAATACCTGTATGTATGTTTTAAGTAATGTTATTTAATGTTAATAAATGGAACACTAGAAGTAGCTAACCACTTATGGTAAAGAAATAAAGTGAGACGATTGGAAACACCAATGTATGAACAGTAAGTGCTTATATGTGAAAACATATCGTCATGTCTCTAAATATGAATATCAAAGCAACACTTATTTACTGTTCATATACAGTGATCCCTCGGTTAACAAAATTTCAGTTAATGAATCACCTTCCATAAGATTCTTAACTTCGGTTAACGACCATTCCCTCGATTAACGAATTCCTTACGAGCGCCCCTGAACATGTTTTCGCTTGCACACTAGCTGTCATATTAGTCCGCCAATATAGAAATCGGTTCTTGGGCTTAAATTCCTTACTATTTTAGTAAATATCAAGAAGTTTGTACTATTCAATAATTTTAAAAGTCTTATACAGGTTGACAATCCCTTATCCGAAATCCATGGGGCCAGAGGCATTTCGGATTTCGGAATTTTTCGGTTTTCAGAATGGTTTTTTTATTATTATTATTATTATTATTATTATTATTATTATTATTATTATTGTTATTATTGTTATTGTTGTTATTATTATTATTATTATTATTATTATTATTACAGTATTGTTATTATTATGCTTAGTTACATGCACACACCTCCTTACATAAAAAAAAATAGTTGTCATAAGATAAAAACATAAAGGGGACAAACTTTTTCCTGCGTGAGAGTTACCAGGTAGTACACTGGGGGTCATCAGCTGTTCTTTGTCTCCTGAGTTATGTGTGTATTGAAACAATTGACAAATGCGTTTCGTTCAGCAACCAAATGGCAATGCATTATTTTTTATTTACTGGTAATATTTTTATTTATTCCTAACATTTACTGGTACAGTATACAGGTATCCTACTGTATTTATGATGGGGTTACGTTCCTGAAAACCCTCGTCTTAAGTCAAAATATTGTAAATTGGGATCATCACAACTTGGGGTTCAACGGGATACGTTTCCAGTCAGCCCAACACTCACATGTATCACTCAAAATAAAATTCCTACGATAATATAATATACTGTACATAAAACACAATTGAACAACTCTCACTACATCATTAAGAACAAGCCTGGTTGTCATTCCGTGTCCTATTCGAGGCTAAGGGGACTTGTAAGGGGAGTGCAGATGTCACTCCAACTCCCACACAGCCTCTGGGGAGTTTCATGCTGCTTCACAGTGTCAAGTTTCACCTCCAGAGAAAGATTTTCCTGGGTGCCTTGGCTTTCCCAGATATTTTCAAAGTTAAACTGCTCACTTTAGTCACAAAAACAGCGAAACAATGGTAGTGTCCTACACTGCTTACATCATGTTCACAACAACAGAGGCAAAGCACTTTACAGTCACAAAACTTAATAAAATTCACTTCAGTCACCAAAACAAAGTACAATGTGAATGTTAGTGATGTCCTCTCACTGTGAGGTAAAAAAAAAAAATAAATAACATGCTTACCGATAATCATTGAGCTTCATGATCACAGGCATGTGCAATCACCATGGAACAAAGCTTGGGAATGTAGTGCACCGGGTGGCCACGTGGCGGTGCATGGGTGGCCCGCAGCTGATAAGTGCTCCGAGAGATGTGTTCCATATTCCACACGTCAGTGATTGAAGCAGGACGATGAACATCAGTCATGCAAATTTTTTTTATCAAAATAGGAGGGTGGTCTTAATACATTATCATTGTTCAAGCGAAATATCATAGATAAGGAAATAATAAATTGGGGGATACCTGTATATTATTTTATCTTATTATTTCAACATTTTGATAAGATCTACCGTTATGTGAATCATCCCAGTAATAAAAATATTTAATTTTAGTGCCTTTATTAAAGTTTATTTATACAATAATCATATCCATAGAAATTATCATTAATTGAGGAGCATTATAAAAGCATATGCAGTAAACCCTCGATAACTCAGCACACATGGGGCTCTGGCCTTGCCGAGTTATCCCAAATTCTGACTTATTGAAGCACTTCCCCCTCCCCTACAAAAATACAACAATATAAAATTATTGACCCTTATATGTGTCCATGTAATTACTAAATGTAAGAAAGTAACACTTACCAGCACTGCAGGTGATGAATAAAGCATCATAGTAGGTGACACAGAGGCATGGTAGGTGATGCAGGTGGCCAAATATGCCAAGATTTTCCCAGATAATTGTCTACGTCTCTGCATTTCCTGAGTTATACTAGTACATTCCGAGACCATGTCCATGCCGAGTTATATGAAATTCCGAGTTATCAAATGCCGAGTTGTCGAGGGTTTACTGTACCAGTATTATTATACAGGAATACCCCGGTTATCGCAAACGATGTGCTCCTAAAAGTCATTGCAAATAACGAGTATGCGAATATTGGGGCTATTTTTCCCATAAGAATTAATGTAAGTGTGGGGGATGCTTTCCCAGCTGCAACTTTTACCACAGATTTTTTGATAGACGCTCCTCATTGTAAGGCTATTTGGGACCAGGGTCGTGTGTATACTACAGTACCAGTAAATGTGAGAAATAAATACAAATTATACTTTACTAATAATTAAATAAAAAATACTGCATTGACAGTTGGCAATAGTTTCACAATGCACTGGACACAGGACTCTGGAGCGGCTGAGATCTCCAACACTGCTCCCTCCTCCTCCTCCTCCCACGATCTGTGTTCTAACTACTGTGCCCGTAAGAAATGTTTATTCCCTTTATGATTTTTACCTTATGATAATAATTTTTTTCCAGATTATTAATGAATGGTTGTGTGTGCATGTAACAAAAAAAAAATAAAAAATATTACGTATACAGTATCCGAAAATACGAGTTGAAAAATACTAAAAACAGCTTGGCTTGGTAGGGGGAGAGCTAGGGGGTTGTAGCTACAGGAACAATCTAATTTGACCACCTGCCAAGTCCACCCACACGTTCACGTCACACTCATATACCACACCTGTGCTCTTCATATTTTTTATTGAATACAATAGCAACATATATTTTGTGTACAGGTACACTCCATATAATGTAATAAAATAACTACAATACTGTAAGAACAATGCAAAAGACAATTCAGTGGTGTGTGTGTGTGTGTGAACAAGCATTTACCATTGCTATATGAAGAATTCTAGAACGCTCTGTTTTTTTTCACACCACAGTTTGAGAATACAGGTACAGTACAGAAATAGGTTGAGCCTCTCCCGTACATGCTGTGTGTGAACGGTCTCATTTAACTTCATTCATTTCTAAACTGCACGGAAAAAACACGCTTGTGTGAAGCAGGCCTTACAGCGGAATATGAGAGCTGTGGCTAGTCCTCACGGATTGAAATTTTACTGTAGGGTATCATAATTTTTCTTTGTGAATACCAGGTAAGTGGGGTACTTCCCTCACTTATAGCACTAAGCTTCCTAGTAATACGCACCTCCTTCTCCCTCTGTTTCACCCCTATTGGTACGATAAGACTTGTCACTCGGAAAGGAACGTAACACACCGCGTGCCACCAGCCCTCTCTCCCACCCTTCTCGCCCTCCTTCTTCTCTGTTTTGTTTGTTTCTCTCAATGGCCCCCACTCCCTCCTCTCTGCCAGTTGGAAAATAAAAAAAAGATTCAAGTGTTATTACATAACATTCCTATGAAATTTTTGTAGAAACATGGAGTCCCATTAGCTAAGAAACCAGAAAATAATGATTCACTATGAGCGAGAGAGACTACGATTGGGGTCCGCAGGCTCTTGTCCTATTCCCCCCCTCAGTCCATCTCTAGGCACAGATAGAGGCGCTTTTACCTACCTTCACTAATATACAAATATGGCTATCGGCCTTACAAATATTGTGCTACCGGAAGAGTATTTTGTTTTTGTTTTCAGATAGAGGAAATGTTGGGGAGTATAGATAATAGTAATAGTAATATCTCCGTTAGCCGGAATTGAAATTTTCTCGGAGGGGCTTATTTTCTGGAAAATTCTGAGAAGATTTTCCGGATACGGTAGCTGGAAAATTCCAGGAATGGGGGAGCATTTTTCTAGGTTTGAGAGATAAAAATCAGGTACATTTTCCGGAAATTCCAAGAAAATTTTCCAGTACAGTGAGTTCTGCTATAACGCGTGTTTTGATAACGCGAATTTGCTCTAACGCGATTTATGAATTCGGAACAATATTTGTATAACGCGATCGCTTGTTTGCTATAACGCGATTTTTGCTTACTATTTCTCCAATTTTGTGGTATTAACTGTGAATATGGTAAAGAAGAATATCTCCAAAAAGCATTCTGATGATAGAATTCCCGGTGATTATCGTAAAAGAAAGGATATAACACTTGAAGAGAAGCTTGATGTTATCAACCTCAAAATCACCCTTCTCCCCCATCAAGTTACATTCATATTTTTTCAAGGTAAAGTGTTAAATTTACTGTATGATTTCATTATTAGATATGAATGTAACATTTATTTAGACTGTGCTATCCTTTGTGTTAGGCTAACTACTAAATTTTTTCGATTTCGAGTAAACTGCACCTAACCCTATTTTCTCCATAAGCCCTGTTATTTCTATTACGCGATTTTCTATAACACGATATTTTACAAGAACACAATTATCGCGTTATAGCAGAACTACCTGTACCCAGAAAATTCCGGGGATGGGGGATATTTTTCCGGGTTCGAGAGATGATGTAATGGGCAATTTCTGGAACTTCCAAGAACATTTTTTCGTTACCCGGAAATTCCGGAAAATTCTGGGGATGAGGGATTTTTTCCGGCTTTGAGAGAATCGTCTTGTTACTTGGAAATCTCTTATTCCAGGAAGTGCTTTGCACCAATATTTCCGGCTAATGGAGATAACACTGATAACTCATTTTTGGGGGGGTGGGGGGCTTGGCATCTTGTCGCACTCAACGCCTCATATAGGATGCAGGCTAATTTTTTTAGCCATTTTTTTTTTTCAGACAAAAGTGTCTTATATGCCATAAAATACAGTATATATTTTCATTTTATTTTATTTTTGCTGTTTTTTCAGATTATTGTGAATACTAAATGTGTATTTCAGAATTCATATGTTACATGATGTTAGTGTAATGTTCATCATTTGCAAGGTGTCATGAAAGCGCACAAAAAACAAGCTTTGTAGTTATTTAGATGAATAAAACCATACAGATGGTGACAGTGGATTTTGTACTCACACAGTTTTACGTGTTTAGTATTTCATGTTCTGTTCTTGTTGGTTTGATAATTGTTTTCTTAATGTTTATGGCGAATTTTAGAAATGTGTTGCGGGTTCAGTGCAAATTAGTATTGTCACATTAGAGGCAAAAACATTCCCTCTTATTTGTTATTTCTTCACAACAGTAGGAAAGCTAGATCCAGGTTCTAAGAGATTCTTAAGGATTTATACAGATAATCGTTTCACGTATACAGGGGGTCCCCATGGTGAGGACGTTCTTAAGTCGGAACATATGCTTTGTGCATACCGTACCTACAAAACAGTGTTTAATGCTTAAAGTTCCACAATATCATAGTCTAAGTCCTTATATATACCTAAAATCACTTAATTTAAAAGAAAAGAAGAAATAGAATGACAAAATACAGTAAATGAAAGAAAAAAGTAAGTCAACAGGTAATAAAATACTGTAAATTTCAAATTTAATCCTGTTCGTATCACCGTTCGTTTAGAAGTCGGACATTCGTAAGTCAGGGACCCCCTGTATTGTCAAAGATTGGTACAGATTTGTGTGGATTATCAAAGATTCGTTCAGTTTTACCAGGGTTCACACGGATTCTTAAAGATTATCAGGGGTGTAAAAGATCTTCAGTGATCTCGTGGAGGCTCATGGATTAGTACTTGTTAGCTTTCCCGTACTTGAAGATACAGAATGTATCAGTGTGGTTCACCGGAGCTGTGGAACAATTATTGCATATGAATTGCACAGACTAGCAAAATACATTTTTTATCTCTTTGGATCAAAATCCGTACATAAATATTGCAGAAATGGATAGGAATATTGAAGAATCCAATTCAGTCTTATGAGAATTCATACGAGTCCCTAAGAGTTCTGTATACAGTTCTTAAAGCTTTGTAAATCTGTATGGATCTTTGAAAATCTGTGGAATATTCATGAATCTGTACTTTTCTTTGAGAATTTGTGCAAATCCTTGAGATTTGATAAAAATCTTCGAGTCCATACAAATTTTTAAGAATCTGTACAAATCTACAAGAAATTATATCTGATTTGTTTTGCTGGAAAAAAACTTGAATCCTTAACTGGCACAGGAGATACTGTGAACATGAATCCTTGATTAATTAAAAAAATTGGAATGTACAATACAGTATCTCAAAAATGTATCTGTCAGGATGGGTCCAATGATTTCCAAAATGCTACCTGCAACTTGTGATGTCCCTGGAGGGTTGGTATGTGTGGCTGTGTGGCCTGCTTATCCTACTACATTTGGTAAATATATACCAAGTAAATGCATGTCCCAATATCTATCATCCGTGGTCTCATAATGTTTCACACTGTGTGGACAGAAACTTTTTTGAGATACTGTACAAACCGGTAAATTTGTTCAGTTTTGTTAATGCAGTTTCTTCTATAAATGAATACATGTATAATATACAGTGTCTAATTTATACAAATTGATTTTAAATAGTAGAGTACTGTAGTTGTATATTGCTTCAAGTTTTTTCCAGAAGTATGACCAGGGCCAAAAATTAGGTATGCTTCATGACGTCAAACATTTTGTGAAGAACAAACTTAAAAAAAATCAAACATCAAGCCAAAAGCCTCTGGCTTTTTACTGTAATCCTATTAGGATATCTAAATTACATCACTAAGTCATCATGAATACAGCATTACTCTACATTTCAGGCCCTGAGTATATTTTTAAAACAAGGAAGAATGATTGTAACATTGTGTGTGTGTGTAGGCATCCAACATAATTAGTGTCCCTCGTGCTCCCATAGGTGGCTCCTCCACTTCCTTACTGATGGGTATAACCCCAACCCCAGCAGCCCCTGCTTCTTCCATCACTTCCCCTGTAGTATCTGGGACGGCAGGTGGCTCCACCAGTAGTAATATGGACCTGCTACATGGTTTACTAGGACCCAGCACTTCCTCCACCCCTGCTACCCCCTCAGCGGCTGTGATTCCCCCAACTGGTGCTACTAACCCGGACATGGGTGGATTTGTGGGTGGGCTCGGTGGACTTGCATTATCCCCAACGTCGCCAGCCCCCATGGCACCAGTGGGCACTATGCCAAGTAAGTTGATCTGGGAATCCTGTGTTACTGCTAACTGCTCTTCTATGACTGAAGGATGGCTTGTGGCAAAAAAAAAAAAAATTATGCTTTATTACTGGCAGAACTAGGGATATAGCAGTAAGCTCTGTCCTTTCATTTTACTGTTTATCATTAACTCTATGTAGTAACTTAAACCAATAGGATTGAACTTTTACTGAATATACACAGCAGTGAAGTGAATATCAGTGAATTCCAACAATATTTGATTGAGTATGGTTTGGCTTTGTTTCTGCACTTTCTTACACTTCAAAAATTGTACAGATTTTGATTAAATATGGTACAAAGCCATTTAATTAGGACAATTTGTCTTCATCGTAAATTTGTATCCTAAATTTCACTCTGTTTATAAGAAAAGAAAGTTTCATTTCTCAGCCAGACCTGCTGTTCCAGAATAATTCCTCAGTTTAGTAGCCAGATGAAATTTTACTCAGTTTTTAGCTCTTGTTTTTGTGTCACTTAGTAATTCCCACATTTACAGAATTTTTGTTATGGAGGTTATTGTGGAAATGTATTGAACTTTTCAATTTACAAGGCATTCAGGCTATCTGAAATGTCTTGATATAACATAGATTCATTGACTTTGCTGCTGCTTGAAGTATGTGCTCTCTTTTCTTGTATTTTATAAACTCTACGCTGTAAAGAAACTCGTCGGTCATATTGCTAAACAACTGATATTTTCATTCTAGCGTAGGTTAACCAGAATAAGCCTATAAACAGAAATAGGGCTTTCCTGATAATGAATGAATCCACAGAGCACATACACACACTCATGCCTGAACACACGCACTCATTCTGGTGTCCTACCAGTGATTCACACAACCTGGCATCACCAATCAGTAGCACATCCTTCTCCAGTAATAACTTGACACCTTGCTCTCCAGTCAACCATGCACATTGCGGTTTCCTGTTCAGAACAATTAAAAAAAAGTTGAAATTGTCTTTTACCTTGTCTTGTATTGTCTTGTCATTGCAGCATCCGTGTTGTAGAAAGTCATCTTTAGCCTGGGTTGAGACTAGCTATCATAGTGTGGGGCCTTGAGATTAAGGAGTGATGAATATCAGCAGAACACAGTAATTAGTTGCTTGATAGTCCTGCTTATCCCCAAGATCTGACTAAGATATTTTGGTTTGGGGATGTATGTTACCACTACCAGGTAATACCTTATTATGGTTTGATGATTTTGTTGGTGGAGGCTTTTTTTTACCAATTTTTTTATTTAGAGGTACAATATTGTGAAAGACTTGGTTTCCTTTTTTTAGCAGAAATATCAAGCTAGGGATACCACCCCCAAAATTTAATGTTACCTCTTGGTTTAGGCCACCTTGCAGTATTGTGGGAAAGGGCTTGCAACATTTGGAGTTGGGGAAGTTGTGGATGGGGAATACCATAGCAGAATACAATACACTTGTTGCATTTAGAGAGAATGAATGATGGGTAGTGATGGGAAAATGTATTTCCTGTTAATTGTCACCACACTAAATCATAATAAAAAGGGGGGAGGGGGGCTTGCAAAAGTAAAGGGGAGACTTGGAATGTGTCTGGGCTAGCTATTATCTTTATTCCTCCCCCAAGGGTTACAGAAACCTCAAAGAAGGGTGAATAAGAATAGAGAAGGAAGCAGGACAAGCATAGAAAGTGACAGCAAAATACCTTTACTTTTTTTGGTTGTATCATAAAGTTTATTCTTAGAAAAAAAAACTTTAATCGTATAAAGTACTTGATAGGAATGCAATTGATTTTGCAAATTCCAAGGATTTTCATAATTAGCTCATCTCAACCATTTGAACATTTTGAGTAATGGCATGTTTAGTTATATTATAATTTGAAATTTACTGGCCAAAATAGTGTTATTTCTAATTTTCAGTATCAAGAAGACCAGGAAACAAGTTTGATACTGAGAAACAAGATGATGGCAATATGAAAGATGAAGATGAAGCAAAGAATAAAGAAGCAAATGAGGATAAACCCCAGAAAGTGGAAGACATACTAATTAGTCAGAAAAAAAATATTAAAATTATGAAGGAGGAGCTCACCAAGTGTGAGCCAAGTCCTGCAGTGATTGTGTCTTCTCTGGAGACAGTTGTTCACTGGCTACCTGGACAGTTGACTCCACAGCAGTACGCCGGCATGGACCAACCCACTCAAGAGGCTCAGGTATTCTTCCGCCATCTTTGCAGCCCAACTCTTACTTTGCTGATAGAAAATTTTGTAGATAACGGCATCCTCAAGAAAAATGAAAATTGCCGAGATTTATTTTACAATCTCCTTGAAGCTTGTTATTTAGAGGAAGATGTCAATGCATTGTTAATGATAGTGAGTGGGGCAAAGTTGGAGAAAGCCAGAGTTGCAGTGAATTTATTGGAGAGAATTATATTATCAGATTGCTTTCTACACTGTCTTCTCAGACACTGTTCACTGTTTTTGAGACATGAACGAGAAAGAGCCATGTGGGATGAAACTGTGAGACATCTCATCACCTTGCCAGAAAGGATTGCCAATAAACTCCAGAATAAAGCCCCTGAGACACTTTTGCCAAGAATTTATTGCAAGGTTGTAGCTTATAATATCCTTCAGGCAGTGTATTGTGTAGCTGATGGACTCAGTCATGACGTTTCAGGGAGTGTTGAAGCCATTGGTAAACTTCTGGGTCAGTTATGTTATGTCAGTGATACAGAAGCTGTCCTGACTCCTCTTGTACATTGGTTAAAAATTTGGTCAAGGGAAAATCCCATAGTTCAGAGAGTCTCACACAGATTATTCCAACATATCCCAGATATGGTCAGAGAAAGGCTCATTGTAACTTTACTGAAAATGGAAGTTGACCACAAAACTCTCTATATATTGCTGGGAGATTCTGGCATAGTTTCCCCAAAGACGAAATATCTTCTTACACAGAAGTTCCTCATAACAAAGCACCTTCCTAAAGTTACATCAGTTCCTGCCATTGTTGGATACTTAGCAGCATCACAGAGTAGCCACCAGGTTTTGAGAACAGCATTGCTACAGTTGTTAGATACTTGGTGTGACAAAAGCATCATGACTCATACATCCTTTGAGTATCATGTCCATATTACAAGGGGTATTATGTCTTGTCTTGCTCACTTCACTACAGCTGATGTTGATCATTGTAAGCATGAATCTCTTCAGAAAATGCTACATGGAGTTGCTAACCATCTTGACTGCCCAGATCATCAGATGAAGCTTATTGGAATGGTTGTAGCTGAAGAGTTAACAAAAGTTCTACATGCTGATGGTCCAAGTCTCAAATTTGAGTATAAGGATAATGAACTAACTCTTAATTTGAAACACTTAATGTGTCTTGGGAAAGATGACACAAAAAATACAAATTCTGAAACAGCATTAGAAAATGATGATGGTACTCTGGAAAAGGGTGAAAATATTTTATGGATGAAGGAATTTAGAAAGGAATTAGAAGATATTGGTATGATCAAGAAAGGTGAGAGTATCAATAGTTTCAAGAAAACATGTATTGTTTCAGAAAATGTGAAAGCGGAAAATGAAAAGAGTTCTGCTGGAAATGAAACTTTTGAAATTCCTGGTGAACAGAAATTGTCAGTTGATGATTCTGAGGAGCTTGACAGTGATGATGATGATTACCAACCATATGACATGTCGGGTGATACTCCTTTATTGAAGGTTAAGGAACCATCATACTCTCAAGAAGTGCTTGAGTACTTAATTGAGGATGAAGCAGAAAAGGTTGCAGCAGCCTTAAAGGTTTCAGAGAAGATTGTATGCCAAGAGTCTAAGATAATGGACTCTGAACTAGCACTAGAGTTGACGAAAGTGGTTTTATTTTTAGAAGATAAATACAACACTGAAAACTTTGAGGAAAATCGTTCAAACACACTCACTGCTCTGACAGTATCATACCCGAGTGAGTGTGCATTGTATCTTGCTGGTGAGTTTTATGAAAGGAACTATAATATTAAACAGAGGATAGACATCCTACAAACACTTAGCACAGCTGCACTAAGGCTCTCAGGAACAGATGCAATTAAGATGTTGGATGGTTCTGCAACTGTTAACAAAGACAAAAGAGTAGTGACAAGAAATGAAATGAAAAATGTGGCTGGCTGCTTTTTTTTTCCACTTGTCCAGGGCATTACTGAACCACGACCTTATCTTGACCTGTTGGACAGTGATCGCTTCCTCTTGTGTGATCTCCTGAAGACCCTCGGCCTGATTGTTAAAGTTACTGGACAGTGTGAAATAACACTGAAGATGGCTGCATGCCTATTGGAATTAACATGGTCACTACGTGTACACGGTGACTCGAGTGTTCGTGGTGCCTGTTTAGAGGCTCTTGGTTCTGGCTTAGAGTGTGTTCCTGACTCAGTATTACTGTCCTTAATTCCAGGAGAGTTGGTAGAGCTGAAAGAGTGGCTATCTGTTACTTTACGAGAGGAAAAAGACAAAAGGTGTCAACTTCTTGCAGCGAAATTGGCATTAAAGTTAGACAGATGCTTTGCTCAACAGATAGGATTTCCTTCTTGGTGTTGATGATAAGTCAATCATATTTAAGTTCAAACTATTATTCATCAGTTTGCCAGATACAAGGCAAACTTCCCACTGGTGAAGAAAAAATATGTATATGCCACAGTGCAGAAGAAATCTGGGAGTATTAATCTTGTGTCAAACTGTTGGCTATCCATTTGAAAAGTGGCTGGTCCATTTGGTTACTATCAGGCACAGTGGCTATCAGAGAAAATCCCTGTTTGGATACACATTTGTATTACTTGAATTTAAATCTTGTTTAAGATTTAATATTGTTAGAATCTTGAAAGTCAACCATACCTTTACTACAAATGTCAACGGATTATGTTTAGTATTGCTTTGCACTTTCAGACCCTTTGTTGAAAATTTGTATGTATCAGCCAGTCTTAAATTTTATTTGGCGTCATTGTAAGTAATTATTTAGCTATATGAAAATATTAATATGGCTACCTTTTGTAAAATAGTTTGTTATTGCAGCTATGGTATTTGTACATACCGTAAAAGCTCTATGTAAATGTTGCTATTATTTTCGAGTCTTTTCCCACAGTGCTGCAAATAAAATATTTTAATACAGAGATACAAATACACGTGGGGGACCAAAACCTTCCAAATCCAGAAATTAATTATCCAGGAGTCTAAAAAAATTGGCACGTTTAAAAAAAAAAATCACATTCGAATTGGACAGGGGTACTGGGTAACAGACTTTTGAATTGCTCCCCACCATTACTCTTTTGTACACTGTAGTTACAGTTGGATTCACATGTAGCTGTGCTGGACTTATGCTATTTGAAATATCTAGTAGGAGCCCAAGGATCAATATTTAGACCTTACTATATGTTTGATATGTATTAATGCACATTTAATTGTTAGATATCAAAGATTTAGATACAAAGGTATGTTTAGTCACAAAATACAGTGATAAATGCTATCTTCTAGTCTAACTACATCACTGTACTGTTTATATTTGCTGTTATTTCGTATTAGACATGGAATTGAAATGCAAGTTTAAAGTTCTCTCTCTATGACCAAGTACTGTATATTACAGTATAAAAGAAAATAACTATCATTGTATTTGTGCTGAGACGTCAACCTATTTGTCAACATTGTGGATGCGTAGCTGATGCTGCTTCTTTGGTTTCAGCATATTAGGGCAATGTGTTTTAAAGAATAAGCATTCAACATACTGGTGTACATCTGCAATACAAAATTTTATACCAAAGCTATGCATAGTATTGTCTTGATTTTTACTTGGAAACAATTAATCACTTTGCCAGAACATTATGCAAAAGTTTGAACATACAAAAATGTAAGATAGGCACACATAGGTTCTGTAGTTCTATAAATACAGATCAAGCTTAAATCATTTTTTATGACAATAATGTAAACCAGTTAAACTAAATTTATTTTAAAGAATAATGTGTGGCCATTCATAGAGACTAGGTTTTGTGTAGTAGGCTCATTTTGTCATTTGTAGTGAAGTATGTGACACGTATCCCTTAAACAACGCAGGGGTTAGTTTAATGAAAGCCCCCGGAACACCAAAAACACGATGTTCACCTCTGGGAAGACAAAATTGCCAAAAATGAAGTAAACTCTCACTATAACACATTTACTTCCCACATATGCTCTTTATTTTTCGTATTTTATAATTTTTTATTATATTTTCAATGTTTCTAAGCCACAGAGTATTGTAATGATTTTTTCACAACTTTTATAGTTTCATTACAAGTAACAATATACTAAGCAGCTAGGCTGGCGATGCGGCCCACATAGTTGTAGCCAAGGCCTTAGCTAGAACCGCCTCCTTGCACATTCACTTCTCACACATACACTCCCATGCTCTTCATTTTCTTGTTTTATGTGATATTTTCTAAGCCACATTAGAGTACCCGGTATTGTAATGATTTTTTGACAACTTTTATAGTTTTATTACAAGTAACAACAAATGTGGCAGCTGGGGTAGCGAGTCAGCAACATGGTTATATCCCACCACCTACACACACGGTAACTTCTTACACATACACACCCACGCACTTCAGTTTTCTTATTTTATAGTTTAAATTATGTTTCCTTTATTTCTAAGCCACATCATTTTTATAGAGTAGAATAATTATTAAAGAAGTCCCATTTTCTGAGACGCATACCGGAAGTCAGCTGGCTGACATGCCAGTCAACTGTGGTTTGTGAGAGATGTTAATGTAGATATAATGAAAGTACAGTATAAACATTGTGGAAAAATAATTTCAATAGTACTCTAATGTGACTTAGAAATAAAGAAAATGTGAAACTATAAAATAAGAAATATGAAGAGCAAGGGTGCATATTCTGCATCTCTAAGATGCAGTGTCTTGTTGGCAGCACTTGTAGCACGCGCTGCCAATAGTGGAAGTTGTCAGATCGCACATACGTACACAACCTTCCTTGCTCCCCATGCAACCCATAGTGTAATCCACGGAGGGGTGATGGCTGTGATGTTTAAACCCACAAAGTATTTGCTTACCTTGTTTATAAAACCATTGTTGCATCTTGGGTTTTTACTTTTTTTTTGCTTATTGTGTTTTTCTGGCAAGGTGAATTGATTTTTGTAATTAATATTAAATACTGTGTGTGATTTTTAAAAGGATATTCTGTTTAATAGCTGTGCATCACAAAACTCGGCTATAAAATACCTCAGGAATTTCATCTTTAAAAGGTTTCATGGATTCAAGGAGAAGTTCATAAGAGGGTAGTGATTTTGATCAGAAAACTAAATATTTACAAATTCAGGAGTTTGAGAGTCCCAACAGTCAGGCGCATTTTATATTGTTTCCGGAGCAAATAAAAGTTTACATTATAGAAGAAAAATTATCTATCCAATCATAGTTAATCTATCTCCTTATGGTCATTCGTAAGCCACTGGCATTTTTTCATTTGTTGAATGATTTGTATTTCGTTAACTGTACAGTAATCCTATTTATCCCCGGCCTCGTTAAATCCTCTTATATTTTTTTTTACTCCTAAAGATTTAGAAAACATTGTGAGTAGTCTACCTATTTGAATGTACTGAGTGAAAGCATATAGATGTGTGGATACAGTATGTCAGTGTGCTGTCATTATAGGTGACTGCTGCTACTGTAGGTCCTGGATTGATGGGTGCTACCTTAATAGTAATTATCCACAGTACAGGACAATGATAACTTTTAGCTATAGAGGTGCTGAATATACAGTATATATTTAACCCCTCATAATCTCAAATAAACCTAATGTGGAAGGATTAATGATACTAAGTATAATGTATGATTTAGCTGTTTGAATAACACAAGTACTAGAGGAGAGTGAATTCTTTACAACAGGAAGAATGAATAAAGTATATTTGTATAATTGCTCTTGATTCTGGCCACCCTGCATGAAAGAGTGAGCAGGAGGGGAGGTCATTGGTTCTAGATAAATGATGACTTAACTCACCTAATACTAGGGTATAGGCATGGAAGGTTGATTTCATCACAGAATTGGTAGTGAGTAAAGTAAATACTGCACTGGAAAGGTAGATACCAGCCTGTGCATTGCATTTCGAACTAAGATTGGTTGAGACTTCTTTCTCATCGATAATAAGTCCAAGATGAGACTTGGAAAATCAAAAGTACTGTACAGTAGTGTGGAATGAAGCTCAATACTGTACATGCTTCAGCGAGGAAGTTGTGGGTGGATCTTTTTAAAACACAGTGAGAAGCAATGTTCCTGTTTTGACAAGTTTTCTGGGAAAATGCCCTTTATAACTTACTCGTTTCATAAAAGAGCCACAAATCTATGCCATCACTTAGGTAGTCCTGGACATTAGGTATAGCAAATGCACAGATCTGCGCATGTCACTTTCATGTCTACAAGATGATATGAAGGATGTGCAGTGGTTCTGAGTATTGTTAATGTATTCTCATGTTCTTGAAATCTATGTACCTTCACTTACAGTTGTACCTATACCAGGTACAGGTGTCTTTAAAGTACACAGTACTGTACTGTTATTTCTGAATTCGTAAAACTATATAAATAAATGCTTTTCTTTTTCACTTTCATGAATTTTTTGTCCCATACCAAAATGTTGCACTGAATTGTCATGCCTGTCAGACTTGCACTTGTGTTAAAAAAAAAAAAATAACATAGTTGGAAAGGTTGAACAAGTGTAGTGAATACTAAATGATCTTGATGACATTAGTCATCCATATAAGAATTTTCCAAATTTTTATACTACTACAGTGTTATCCCCGTTAGCCGGAACAATTGGTGCGAACCACTTCCGGGAATGAGAGATTTCCGGTGAACGATACGACTCTCAAAGCCAGAAGATATCCCTCATCTCCGGAATTTTCTGGGTAACGGAAAAATTTTCTCGGAAGTTCCAGAAATTGCCCATTACATCATCTCTCGAACACAGGAAAATATCCCTCATCCCCGGAATTTTCCGGGTATAGGAAAATTTTCTCGAAGTTCCAGAAATTGCCCATTACATCATCTCTCGAACCTGGAAAAATATCCCTCATCCCCGGAATTTCCGGGTTTCGGGAAATTTTCTAAAAATTATCCGGAAAATGTGCCCCTCGGAAAATCGTTCCCAAAGCCGTAATTTTCCGGAAAATTCCAGCTTTAGGAATGATTTTCCAAGAAATTTTAAATTCAGGCTATCGGAGAGTTCCGGGTTTGAGGGATTCCGGCTAACGGAGATATTACTGTACACATATTATAACTTTGTTGATACAGCACTGTAAGGAAAGCTGAAAACTTTATCTGAGTTATTTTTATTCTCTAGAAGGCAAGCAGGTGTAAAGTGGCTCTCTACTTTCTAATTTATCACTGTTAGACATAGACACAGTACAATCAAATTTAATTTGCCTCATCAACAACCAACTTCCCCCCCCCTTCCCTATTTTAACCCTAGTCATAACACTTCATGCCTTATCACTCCATGCAAGTTTGTATCATTTGAACCTCACCACCATTCACCACCTTCACTCCTCCCACTTGTCACCTATGATATGCCATTTACTCTCACATTCTTCAAGCATTCTACAACCTACAGTACTTTTAAGTGTATGGTATATAACCACCTCTGGTCACACTACTAATTGTTTTCTTCTTTCTTATCTATAGGTGTACTAGGCAAGCTAGCTTAAGTATAAGTCACTGTAGTACTGTACAGGCTTGGGGCCCTAACTTATTGGAAAGTAACAAAGCCAGATATTTAAAATACTATGAAGCCAAAGCCAAGGATCTCGAAAGCTACACAAAACTTTAACACCAATATTTATATAATAGACTGTAATGTACTGTATTACCTTGCATGTTAATGGAAATACATAAGATACTCTAAGTTGCAGCAAAGTCAAGTGGTGTAGAAAAGATCTTTGGGGGGATGGGAAGAATACATCCCCCTTACAATTCATATAATTCTGAAGAAGAAATTGGAAACCTGTCAAATTTAAAAAAATAAATAAAAAATCTGTTTCCAGTTTAACCCTTAAAGGGTGGGTATATTTACACATGCTGTCCGCCAGGACGGTGTATAGTTTGCTACATAGAAAATGAGGCAAATTGCATCAGATAATATTGTTAAAATACCTTTAGAATGCGTCTTAATTGGGATTTTTTTTCTACAAATTCATATCTAGCCATAAACAAGAAATAGCAATTTCGTGATGAATTCACAAGCTGAACTGGGAGTACATGTTTTTCAGGCTCTGGAGTGAGCCACCAGTGTCGTCATAGTAACCAAACAAAAACACAACCACAAACAGACCCAAACAATGGCGCAAAAAACTTAAACATTAAATGCTTTCCGCCACCCTTTAAGGGTTAATAATAATCATTCTGAGTGAAAGGTGAACTGAGGTCAACATTCAGTGTTAGTTTTAATCCTGACAGTGAGGTCAGTTAGGGTCAACTTTCTTGCATGTCAGCGACACTTATCAACTCAGGTTATCATCAGAGACCGGTAAGATATTGCCGGGCCTGACATCCCCCTCCCCTGGCGATACCCGACAGTGAAGTCGGGGCCAATGCTTGTCAACTCGGGTCATTATCATTCTCCTCCTTATGACAGCTAGTGACATTGGGGACAACAATAATGTTAGTGTTATGGGGTTAGCCTGTTAGGCAGTGGCGTGTCATGAGAAAATGCTAGGGTAAGCAAATGACGCTTTCTTACTTGTAAAGTCACGAGATCTAAAAGAATTCTTTAGTAGATCACATACAGTCTGTATGTGATCTACTAAAGAATTCTTTTAGATCTCGTGACTTTACAAGTAAGAAAGCGTCATTTGCTTACCCTAGCATTTTTTCACGACACGCCACTGCTGTTAGGTCATATGTACTAATAGGGCAGTCCCAGCACATCAGTTCTGTAAAAAGCATTGTGTGTTCTGAAACGATATAAAAAATGTACAGTACAGTATTTTGTTATGATTATGTTCTGTGGCACATTTCTGTAAGTCTTGGAAGTCAACTTTCCATCAATCACAACAAATCCATGCCAATGAGCAAGGCTTTGAGATAAGCAGACTTGATTTTATTTTATTAATTACAGTACATACTTTATTTTCACGAGTTTCATATTAATGATACATTTCAACACCATAACGATCAGTAGCACATGTTGATAGTCACTCTGGGCGGCCAACTTGATGACGTCAGCGAGCGGGGTGGTTTGTTTTGATCAGAGCGTGTGAACAGGTGGTGTGGTGTAACCTACTCACTTATCTGTGATGGCACTGTTGATGATAATGTTCAAGATTTACCTGTGTGTAATCTGTTAGATGATTTACCACTCGACTTTACTGGCTTTGAGACTGAAAGATCAGTTGGTGGTGGTGCTGGGGAAGCAGCGTAGTGTGGGGACAGGGGGCACTAACACCACTCCCCTGCCTCGGATAACAACAAACAGTCTCATTAAGCAGTTCAATGAGTTTCTAAAGGTAGTTATTATAAGTTTTAGCTCTACATGCAGTACTAATGTGTGTGAATAAGTGGTTGTAATTTTTTGTGGGGCCTTATTTTCAAAGTGTTGTCAGTCAGCACCTGGGGGTGAGGAGGCAGAGTGGTACTTGTCTGAGGTTCAGGTCAGGTCATTGTGAAAATTGACCAATAGAAATAGTTGGGATCAGCTGTGATGGCACTGAAGCTGTAGCATAGTCCGGGGCTTTCTTAGGAGGTCGGGTCATTGTGTGAACAGAAAAGTCGTGGATTTCCTCAGCTGTGACGTCACAATATGGTCAATGTGTCTGTGTAGAGAATAAAATCCTAAGCCAGGCCCGTGGCTTTGAAGCTGAAGCTGGTGCCATGTCTCTGGTTTCAAAACCAAAGCCAAGCCAAGAAAAAAATTGGCTTCCATAAGCCAAGCTGTTGTATTGCCCTTCAGAGGGTGTATTTTGTACTTTCCCTACCTCATTACAGTGTTAGAAGTCGAGTGGATGTCCTTAAACCTTCATCTACAGTATTTACCTGTAAGAAAGTTGTCTACTGATCGCCTTGTTTATCTGTGCTGTTTTGGGCATATGGCCACACACTTGAACACTACGTCCTCGACTGTGAAGATAGGACCTTTTAGGGACAGGTCCAAGCACAGTGTGTGTGAAATGGCACAACACTTAATCTCTAATGGCAAGATAGCCGACATATTAAGATGTATCCACTTTTTTTGCACTTAGTAACTATATCAGTTCTCATGTATAGAACCAAATACACAATGTGCTTGAATACTTCTCACGCAAATGTGAATAACAAAGTGTGCAGCCAGACATACTGCCTCACACGCCTGTACTCACGCATTTGTGAATAAGTTACCCTCTATGTATAGAACTAAACAAATAATGTAATTGAAATACTGTGTAACATTCAGTGCCATAATATCCTAACCACGGGGGTTAATTATTATGACCCGTTGTAAACTCTAATCAGTAATCCTTTTGCGCTACCGCTCACAGGATGAGTGTGGGGTGCACTTATAAAGTAGCCGCTGTAAGCGGCAAAATCAATCTCTGCTGTCCCGGCGTCTGCCCGCAGTCACGCCAGCCAGCCAGCCAGCCAGCCAGCCAGCCAGCCAGCCAGCCAGCCAGCCAGCCAGCCAGTCAGTCAGTCCTCTTCCACCCACATTCCTTCACTTGAAGACTTGTATTCTGACAAAGACACAAATGAGTTGTCAGTCTTCACTACATCTCGAGCCATAGCTCATACCACCTCTGAGCTTGTCCAATAAAATTTTTTCTGTTAAGGTCATCACTATTCTTGATCTCTTGGTCACTTTAGAGTCTTTGCTAGTAATATTTGCCTTTGATGAGGCTGACTTATGTCCGGAGCCATGTGGAATGCACGTGGGAGGACAAACAGAAGAGGTAATCACAGTAGCGTTCACAGTACGGTAGGCACGTGTGGAACTGAGGCTTCCTGGAGCAGCGGGTGTCTGAGGTGGGAAAGGGTGGCGTCTGTTTGCCGCACCGCATGGGAATATCGAAAATGGCGCAACATTTTTAAAGGATATATACACACACTCACACCTTACTAATCAAGAATCGAACCCTGGACTTCTGCGTGTGAACAGGGATCACTACCACCGCGCCACAAGGACAACAAAAGCAATCCTAGGCTTTGTTTTATTTCATACAAAGCCTGTTCATTCGTGTTCATTAAGCAACTTGAACCTCCATTGGGGATTGCCCGTGCCAACAATGTGGTCGGAGTCGCGTTTTACCGAATCTAGCTAGGAAATACGAGGCTACATATACAGTGATATCCCTGTTAGGCGGAACAATTGGTGCAGAGCACTTCCGGGAATGAGAGATTTCTGGGTAATGAGATGACTCTCAAACCTGGAAAATTTCCCCCACCCCCGGAATTTTTGAGGTACTGTATCTGGAAAAAACTTCTCGGAATTTTCCGGAAAATTTGCCCCTCAGAAAATCGTTCCCAAAGCCGGAATTTTCCGGAAGATTCCGGCTTTGGGAACAATTTTCCGAGAAAATTTCAATTCCGGCTATCGGAGAGTTTCAGGTTTGAGGAATTCCGGCTAACGAAGATATTACTGT